AGTCTGACCAGTGGGGCCAACTATATTCAAATCTCCTTTAGTACTGACCTCCAAAAGTAGAAAGAAAAACCGATCATTTTGCTTAAGTGAAGTCATTATGCTCCTCATTACTGCTAGCATCAGCAGCAATAGCACGGTCTCCTTTTGGTCTCTACGGGCGGTGAAATCGGGTAATGTCTGTTTCCTCTAGGTATCTGAATAGGACATTGTGGAGTTGCTCTAGCAAACTGATTACTGTTGTCAGTTAATGAAAAAGAATGGACTAACTTGCTTGGATCAGGTTTTGTTCTTTTTCTACTTCCCATGACTAGCTGTGAAGGGGGGACTGTGTGTGGATAGTTATTTGGATAGTGGACTCCAACGTCATTTAGCATGTACCATGCTAAGTAGGCAGTTCATATGGAGACTCAGCAGAGAGCTTAGTGTAAAATGGATGGTTCATATACAGTGTGTGTGTGTGTGTGTGTGTGTGTGTGTGTGTGTGTGTGTGTGTGTGTGTGTGTGTGTGTGTGTGTGTGTGTGTGTGTGTGTGTGTGTGTGTATACCTTAAATTAAGTTTCTCCTTTAAGAGTTGACTCACAAGAAGTACCAAATAACAGAACTTTAGTACTTTTCCTAAATAATTTCATTCTAATTTTTGAATTTGGGGTTTTTAACAGCCCAAGAATTGGGTACATGTGGACTATTTAAAATTAGGACTAACGACATGCCCAGCTCTCTACAGCAAGTAGACCTTCTCAACCCAGAATGCTGAGCAAGAGTTCTCATGGGAAAAATTACAGAACCCCACGGTATTCAATGGATAAGTCCTTCACCTCATCAAAAAACAGAAGGAACTTGCTACGTTCCTGCAGTCTAAGGCAGTCACCAGTACTAGTTTCCAAGCTTGCCTTTTCCCCTAACAGAAGTAAAAAGGTACGAGACCCCAAGCTGCGTCCTGAGGGCACGGAATGTCTCCAAGCCAGCCAGTGCACCCTGGTCCTGCCTGAGGTAAGCGGCTTGGCTGGGCACAGCTCTCAGCTCTTTCTTCCTTTGGGCTTTCCCTCTCCTTAGGGACCTGGGATGTGCTGAGCACTTTGCCAGGCTCTGCGTCATACAAGGGAGACCTGGAAGATGACAGAATCAATGTTTTTAAGCCAAGGTTCTCTAAAGTGATCCTTCAGTCTCCTGAACTTTCCCGATATGTAAATTATACAAAGCGTTACTGTATTATCACACCCGGAACATTCTCAAATGTTAACAGTGGATTGTATCTTCACACTTGTCATGAAGGATCTAGAAGCAGTTTTCAGAATGGCACTAAGTTTTTCTGTGAAATGCCAAACCTATGAGAATAATCTATGTAATTGGGAAAAAGTTGGAAATTCCATCTCAGTTGTAAGGTTATTGTTAGTGATGCCACAGGAGATAAGCTGCTGCAGACTGCCCTGCCCCACAGTTTCAACAGAAACGTCGAGTTAAATGCATCTACAGGGAAAAGCTCTGTAGACTCTGCAGTGGTGCTTGCTACACCTTAAGTACAGAGCTAAGCAATCCTAAAGGGAACCTTGAACGGTCAGGTGGACACACGATGGCTCTCCTGGGGGAATGTGCTGTCTTGCTCACTTCTCCTTTAAGAAAGACTGGGGCAGAGGAGGACCTGCAGCATGACTGTGTTTATGAATTCCTTCCTCCAAGATGTGGCAGGACCCCTGTCTTTTAATATATATTTGAACATTGTAACCTTGGTTCTCAAATCCCAAATACTCTGGTAGGAGATAGAGATAAAGTAACCTTTTTCATGGATGGTGGAATTGGGATATTTTCCTAAAAGAACATTAGACTAAATCCTCAGAGGGTGAATGACTTGCTCTGGTGCTAACAGGACACTGCCAGGGGTGGTGTGAGCTGGACACTCTCTTCCTCACAGGGGACAGGGGGCTCCTTTAGCATCGACAGTGAGGAGTACGAGGCGATGCCTGTGGAGGTGAAGCTGCTGCCCCGGAAACTGCAGTTCTTCTGTGACCCGAGGAAGCGAGAGCAACTGCTGCCGAGCTCAGCCCTGTGAGCAGCCAGGAGATGGGCCCCCAGGACTGCACTGAGGCCACCAGTGGGACCAAAAGGGAACAAATGCCTCAGCTGTCCCCACAGTGTTGTCAGAGGATCCCCAGGGCATTTCCATGGCAAGTACCTCTGCCCTTCCCTCACAGTGCGTCCCGAAGTCTGCTCTGCCCACCTGCTTTCATTAGCGCATGCTTTCGACTCTGAGACAGTCCTTCCCCCAGCTAAGTTCAAGGACACGCACACGCAGCGGCTGGAAGAGGACGAGGCTAGACTTTGTTATCTCCCCAAGTGCAACTGCAGTGGCAAGCAGGCTCCTAGACTCCCTCCGTCTGTCTGTCCTTGGGCAACCCTAGGACTTCTGCCCCCAAGTCCTGGCTGCAGGCCTCCCCTGGGCGCTGCTTGGTGAGCTCTGACTTGGCTTGTTTCAGGTCGATTCTCAACCCTAAACTGTAGGTGAGGTGTTTCCCTCTTCAGCCTGGGCTGAAATACTGTAAAATACTCCTTTTTGTTTAAGTAGTGTTTATTAAATGTTTTCAATGTTAGTTTGCATGAGAGCCAGCTGGGGTGCATGTTGAAAATTGACTTACTTGGGGGTCCAACCCAAACTTACATAACTCAATCTGGATGGAGCCCAGGAACCTGCATTTTCCTGACAAACAGCCTCCCTCCCTCCCCAGGTGATTGTATTCCAGGCCGTCCCCCAGCCTCACCTGGACAGTGTTGTAAAACCGTGTGCTTCCTAGAAGTTTTTCCAAAACCAGGTGTCCCGTCCCACTTTATGTTGACATCTAAAATTTTTCATGGGAAGTTGCCAAAGCATGTACTTTCTGCTGTCCTGTAAATATTGATATTTTGAAATAAATTCCATTACTTCACTCTTTTAAACATATCCATCCATTTACAAAAAAAAATACATTAGTTGAAAATTTTAAATTTTTTTCTCCTTGTATGTATATTTCCATACTATTTCAGCAACAAATGCTATCATAATGCAATCTATTTTTATTCTTGAGTTTTTTAGTTCTTAAGTGTTAACTCAGTACAGAATAAATGTTATATTTATAAAATTGATAAAAGAATTTGATAATTAAAAATTAACCAATTTTAAGATTTAACTAATTTTATTAGAATGTTCTTTATCCAATTATTTCATTTATCCAAGAACACATTATTTATAGCTTAAATGGAACAGGAATGAACACTATATTCCTTGTTCCGTTTTTTATAGATTTAAGCACATCAAATGAATTTGAAGAGCTGCACGACACTGTTATATGTCAAAAATCAGTCATCTGTTAACAGCTTGACAAGATCTCCCTTTAGTTGGCTGAAAGCAGAGAACTAAAAACTCCTGGCCTGCTAAGGATTTGCTAGCCAGTCATCTTCCTGTGCTTTTAATCTCACCATCACTTGTTCAGTGCCCCTAAGGTTTGTACTCTAGAGGGCAAAGCACCTCAGTACGATGGATGCGAAGCCGCCTTCTTTTATAAAGTGGGAGGGGGACTGGCAGCCTTAATCAGCTTCAGGGCAGCATGTGTGCTGTGAGCCCCTTGCTGTCTGATGCTTTAGAGCAGGGCTGGGGACCTTAATTCTGCCAAGGCCATGTGGATATTTATAACATCATTCAGGGGCCATGCACAATTATCAGCTTAAAAAGTATAATTGCTATGAAAAAAAGCTCCTAGATTTATTGAATTTCTAGTCCCGTCTACAATTACCTTGGCTAGGCCGGATCTCCCTCACCCCTGCTTTATAAAGCAGCTACGAAAAGCCGATGTGAGAAGAGCACAGAAAACAAGGCTTACCTGTGACGTCTTCAGAGAAGTGCTTCTGTCACACACACGAAAGTAACGGGTGGGTCCCAACAAGCAGAGTGAGGATCACCTACTCACTGCCCATGGAGGGGAGGAGATGCTGAGGCAGAAGGAAAAGTTTTCACATGAGCCGGAGAACTGAGCACATCCTGATTCTAGAGTAAAGGACCAGCCGGAATCTGGTAGGCAGCCAGCACGTGTGTGTCAGGGCTTCTAGTCCTTCCATCAAAATCATGAAACTTAGCATTGGGGAGGATATTTAATCCAGGTTACTATTTTCAGTCACTTTAAATAGAAACATGCCCTGATTTAAACTATATCCTGTGAGACTATGGTTTCCTTATGTACTGCCTTGTCCTTCCATATAATGTGCATGCAGAGGCCATTTAGCCGTGCAACTAGGAGAGGGTCATCCTTGTCGGCCACACCGGGAAGCTGAGGCATCCAGACAACCCGAGTCCCTCGCCTCCTGTTTAGTACAAACCTCTGTCAGACCAACTTCACTCACAAGCTAAGGCGATTTCTATCAAATAACTTAATGTAAAGCCTTTTGCATGCATGGTTATCATTCTATGTGTCTGGTGCTTTACATAAGCAACTGGTTGATTCAGTTCTCATAGCAGCCTTAGGAAATAGGTAATGTCACGGTCATGTAGCTGGGAAAATAGGAGCCTGGCTTAAAAACACATCAACAATGTTAGCAATTTACTGCCCATGTTTAAAAATCAAATAAAAAAATTTCATGTCCACATACACACACACGCAATATATATGTATATCTCTCTCAATCATACATATACGTGAATATACATATAATATAGAATGTCTTAAAGTAACCTTTGGTGGGAGGAGACGTGAAACGGAAGGCTGTGGTCTCTGTGGTGTCCTCCGCTAGAAGTCGTCTGATGGGATTGGGGTTCGAGGTCCGGGCTCCTCCAGATGGCAGTTATTCCGGCTTTGGTTCCCATTACCTAGAGAATGTCTGTCCTTGGCCTCCAGGGGGACAGGCCCCAGCTCTCGGGTTTCCCACACTGTCGCGGGAAGTGAGGTCAGTGCAGCCGTGGGTTCTGCTCTTGCATTGGGGCGTCACTCCCTACTACAGACACATTTCTTGGACCAGGTGAAGGACTGCGCACACATATGTTCATGTTAAAATGTGAATTTTAATTGTAAAAATTATTTTCTGTAAATATAGTTATATCAGCCTCTCTACACACAACTTGGTTCAGATATATACAGATATGATATACACAGATGTTATTTGTACCACAGAACAAAATCAGTTCAAGAAACACTTTGAAACTCAGGATAATCCTAACTTTTTCTGGGCCTTTAAAATTATCACCATTGAAAACAGAGCAAGAATAACATACCTATAAGCAGTAGTACTCAGGGTAAAGTTTATCAACTGACGTACTGATGTCATAAGATGAGGTAAAGATTTGAAACAAAAGTAGACTCAGTTCCTCTTATTGCTATAACTCTTATACTGGGGTGTTAATCAAAATAGGGGCTGGACATTTAAGGTGACAAGGGACACTATGCTTTTCCTAACTTGGGAAAAATAGGAAAATCTTTTCCAAAGCTACAACTTTTTCAGAAAGGGTTTATTTCTCAGACCCACAAAAAGTTTAGCCCACAAGCTTGGGGTAAATAAAGGATGTTACCTTTGTTTTCTACTCTCCCCTAATGGCCCCTCCCACCCGGTCTGACAAAAGCCCAAAATCTACACCTCCCCTCACTGTGGTCTCCCTAAGCACGCTAGACTGAAACACTTTTCCTGATGCCACTTCAAAAGTATGTTTATACTTTTTCTTAGCTTAATTTGCCCAGAGGAAGTTTTCACTCGAATGTCAAATTAGCAATCAACTAACTCAGTGACCTCTGTGTACATTTGTCCTTTTTTGGATCATCTCTGGCCAATCTGTAATACCCTGCCCCACCTTCCCAGCTATCCTTAGAAAGCAAAGCAAACTGATCTTCAGTCTAACTGGGCTTTCCACCGCAAACAGGTGATTCACACTGACCTCCCATTAAGTAATTCAAGTTTCTGAATGTAGGGCCTACTGCCTCTGGAAGCCCATGCTATGCTGAGCTTCTATAATAAACGGAAGAAATGAAAGCAGAGCTTTACTGCCCCATCATTACCTTTACAGCATTAGAAAATGCTGATTTCCTTTCTTAATGTGCAGCTTCATCCAGCTGCCCCTGTTCTCCAGCTCCAAACGTGAGTTAAAGTGCCAGTTATAAAACTGCCTCCCACAGTCAAGAGGCCTAATCAGCATTATTCCATTTGCCCCCTTTGCATGAGAGTTTTACTTTAGGTTGGGGACTCTATGTCACCCTCCCTAGGACTGTCAGGTCTATCTCCTACAGAGTGCGACTAGATTTCACAGTCCTGCCCAGCCAGGGTGGCCCAGTGGTTGGGCATCAATCCATGAATCAATCCATGAACTAAGAGGTCACAGGTTCAATTCTTGGTCAGGGCACATGCCCACCAGTGGGCATGCAAGGAGGCAGGTCAACGTTTCTCTATTCCTCTCCCTTCTCTCTCTTAAATGAATAAAAACATATGTATAAGAAAAAGATTTCACAGTCCTTGTTCACTCTCCAAAACATCTAAAGTCATAAAACATTTATGGGGTCTCAGTTGCTTCTAAATTCCCAAACTGCCCATTTCTTCTAGGATTACAGTTTGGAAATTTCCTTCCATTCTAACATCTGCATACTCATTTCATCACACAGTAATATTGATATAAAAATAAACTTCCATTTCTTATAAGAAAAAACATTAACTTAATTCACAGTTAGGCTTTCCCCATAATACTCAGTACTCCACTGGCTCCTGGGAACAGAGGTATATTAGTAACACAATGGAATATTAAAAATCCACAACTTGGGAGTAAAAGGAGCTCTTAACTCCTTCTCTTTTGCTACCTGATTCAGAAAACGGTTTTCCTGAAATGCGGGGGGGGGCGGCCTAAGGAAATAAGCATCTGGGTCTGCAGGATCCTCACTGGCTGCAGGACATGGTGGAGCTGAGCAGGGCAGGGGAAAGCCCGGGACTGGACTTTTCTTGGATCCTCCGCCCACTAGCGAGGAACCTAACGGAGATAAAGCTGTGCATGGGTGTTGGTCCCCAGATTAACTTTCTTGCTGTTTTCTGTCATCACACTAAGGCAAGTTCACTGCCAATCAGAACACTGTCTTATGATTTCCTCCCCTCCTGTACCTCTGCAAGAATGAGCTGCTCTGGGCCTGGAGAAAGCATCTTAGTCCATTCCCTGGGCCTTGTCGTTTCATATAAAACACACCAGAAAAACAAAAAAAAAGGTCCCTGAGGTCCGGTTCGGCCTCTTCCCTGGAGGGTTCCTATACCACCATTAAAAGGTTAATTTGTTACTGCCCTTTGCAAAAGTTTCCCTAAAGGCCTCAGTTTAAAGGTGAATAATCTCCTCTTTTTATTGTGCCTAAAGGGCTCTCGATGTATCAAGACAAATAGCTGGCTGCTCCTCCTGGCCACCAGCAGGAGAAACAGTGATTCAGCTGTGATTTAATTGAGCTTTGTCTTATCCTCTAGCTGAAATATTACAGGCCGTTTCACTGATAAATGAATCTTCACACACGGTATTTAGAATTACCTACACCCCGTGCTATACTTAAATTCCCCATCTCGACTTTCACATGGAACCAAACAAGGTCAAGTTATAGATGCAAATTCCTATGCTAACTTATTTCCACCAATAAATACACCCATGAATTCGGCTTCCCTGCCCCAGCCAACTGCAAGAAGAGGTGTCGCATGGATGAAGGATTTGGGAAGCACATGCCTCCTAACTCATGGAGTCACAATTTACTGAGGCCCAGGGCCCCAACTGGGCAGAACGTCATGCTCCACGAAAGCCAAAGCAAATTCTCAACATCGTGGCCCAGACTTTTCAATTGGTAGGCGATAAGCCCGACCATTTCTGAGTCCTTCCAAAGGCAGCCCCGAGCTAGAGGACAACTGGACATGGTGGCAAAGGCTGACTACTGCCATCTGCCAAGCCTGCAAACTTGAAAAACCCACTTTAACATCAGTAACCCCCATGCCTGGATTAGGTCTCACCAGGATTCTCGCAACCTGGAGTTTCTTCCAACGCGACCTCAGGATGTCAGCGCAGCCCAGGAATCTCAGGTCAGCAGTTCCCAGGATGGTTCCCGGCTCCCAGCACGACACAAGCTCAGGTTGAAAGTTGCCCAAGGGACCAGGCCAGTGGGACCAGGGAGGGTTTGCTCCAGCAACAGCCCTCAGTCAAGGGGCCACACCCCAGGTTAGGTTTCCAACAGGTTCCAGGTCAGTGGTCTCGATAGGCATCCCAGCTTACAGACCGGGAAGGCAGGACCTCAAAGGATGCTCACCAACATCTTCCAAACAAAAGCGATGGTTTCTCAGTATTTCAACAGGGACAGAAAACCAAACCCAGGTGGCTTCCAGCTTCTGCCGCCGCCACCCAAGGATTCCTACCTCAGACCTCACACACTCATTCCCCTTCTAGGAAACGGGCAGCGAATCATGCTGGGCTGGGCTGCCCACGCAAGACAGTGGGGAGGAGGCAGGGGGATGGCAGTCAGGTCCACAGCAAGCTTTCAACGGGGAACCTGCACATCTCAATCGAAGCAAGAAATGCTCGGGAGATGACAAACCGCGACAAAGGGAATACAGAGCCAGTGTGCACGCTGGTCAGCCAAGCAGAGGTGGCACCACACCGACTTTCCAGTCCCACGAGGAAGCTGCAGGGCAGGGAAGGCCGGCAGGGAGGGGACAGACAAGTGCCGCTTTGGGGTCAGCTGGGGCCAGGCTCCCCATGACCTAAGACATGGCACAGCCTCGTGTGTGTTCCCCACTGGGGCACCCAGACCCCAGCCCTCTGCATGGCATGAGGGTGGACACACGGACATGCCAGACAGATGGCTGCCCACAGCAGTGGAGTTGAGCGAAGCCCAGAGCCCCTGACACACCATTCAAAGGGAACTCCAGGAGCCTCATTTTCACCCCACCACCTGTACCTCAGCACTTCCGAGCTCCGAGTTTATAAGATCACAGACACAAGTGTTTGCATGCACAGACTGGAGCCGAAGGGCTGAAAAGGCATTCTTCCAACACACTCCCCAGTTCCACGGAAACAGCGTCTGCCCGTGTCCTCCACGGGAATCTGCCCTGCCCTTCCACCCCCACCCCTGCTCCGACCACCCACCCCCAGCTTTGCACCCCTGAACCTTCCGCACACCACCAACAGTAACCAGGACTCGGCCCTGTGAGAAGGCCGCCCGGAGCTGAGAGAGGGCGCTCCTCTAGGAAAACAGCAGGGCAGCTTGCACACGGATGTTTTCTTCTATAAACACACATACTACTGACATGACTGCAGGGAGAGAAATGTACTGCACAGTCTACATTTCAATGCCCACACTTATTTACATATTTACAGAAAAGGCACTGCCCTGATGGCTCGATGCCTGTTGGCGGTCCCACGTGTGCATCTCTGTAGCCTTGAATTCCTTCAGAAGGAGCCACAGTGAAAACAGCTCAGTCATGCGACTCACCCACTGGAAGGTTATTTCTCTCTGCTGTGTGCATTAGCCTGGCCACAGACACGACACACTGATGGCTATTCCGGTAACACCCAGGCAGGAAGGGGGTAGGGGAAGGAATTATTTCCTTAAGTCAAAATCCTAAATTACGGCCCTAAAACTACTCACAGGAGCTGGCTTCCTATGTCACAATCGCTACCTCACTGAAGCTGACGTCCATCCGTCGAACGCCCAGCCAAAGCGAACAGGCAGGGATCGATGGGAGCTGTCCGGACTGAAACCTCTGAGAGGAAAGCAGAAACTCACCTGATACTTGGGTTCCCGAACGCTCTCCCAGGAAAGGCACTGTCATATTTGCTAACAAACCTGATAGGTCCCTGTCCCCAGTTACTTAGCTCAAGGAACGTCCTCTCTGCAGGAGGAGCTCTGAGGCTCCATGCCAGCCCACGGTCTTGCTAATGTGCTCTCAGCTCGGTGTTAACCAGCTCAGATCCTGGCTGGATTACAGAAGCCAGGGAGGCTTTGCTTTGATCCGAGGCTCTACGGGTCACGCCTCCGGAGGACTCGCCCGGATAAAGGAACATCTTCTATCCTGCACCTCAATTCCTCCATCTTTGGGCAACAAATGCTACTCTTTGAAAATACCCAAATTATTCCAAGAGGATGGGTAGCCCTTAAAGGAGACTGAATTCGAAAATGGATTTGCCAACCCATCCCGAGGGGGATTCTGAGGAGGAGGACTACTGCACTGAGTGGTCGCCAAGAACTGGGAGGAGTCTAGGCTGACTGACAAGGAGCCTCTCCCCGTGGCCCGGGCCCAGGAGAAGCTCGTAATCAGGGTCGGAAACATCCTTCTGTCCCACTCAGACCTCTACTCACAGGAAGACATAGATTTGTCCTAATGAACAGGAAAATGGATCTGACCCCCAGCCTGGACTCTCAGAACTGATGACTTTGAAAGGTCACCTGGTCTAGCTTCCGCCACGGGGGACACCCACAATCACACTTAGGGAAGACGTGGTTTCCTCCTTGAATCCATCGCGGGCCACAGGCCACACAGAGTTCCGGAACAGCCCACCTGTGTCTCCAGAGATCAGCCCACTCCTACAAGACTTGGCCTTTGCCGCATCTCAGGGCATTCAACAAGGAGGGGAGAGAGGCAACGCTGATGAGAACACCCGAGACCAAAGCAGGCAGCAACTCTGGAAGAAGGCGGCAGACTCCAGGGTCCTGCCGAAGCAGCACACAAACCACGGCAGTCTCATCTCACCTCTCCAGAGCAAGGGAAGAACGGCGATTGCAAAAATTACATCGGTTGGAAAGTATAAACAATATCCCTTTGTGTCCACTTAATAAAAAGTGAGCCCTCGGGGGCCTGGCGGAGTCCCGCGAGCAGCTCACCAGCCCGGCTCCCCTCCTATGGGCAGCAGGGGTTGTCGATGACCAACATGACGTCGATGCCGTAGGCCTCCAGCAGGTCCATGAGGAAGCTGCGGTCGCCCTGGGGGTCCAGGCCCATGCCCCGCGCGTGCTCGGCTGTCAGAGTTTTGTCCTGACTGGCGGACACCTCCAGCAGCGTCTGGAATATCCGGTTGTTTTGCTCGAGGAAAAACCTGCATTCCCGAGACGAGACACAGAAGAGGGAGGGCGGAAAAGACAAGAAGCTCAAACAGAGAGTCCACGCCTGGGGAACCAGGCCACACTCTTGTTGAATATACCTTTCAATGGTTTAAAAAAGTCAGAAATCTCTTTTAAAAAAGGAAACAGGACCAAAGTTAAACGGAAGGGTTGTTCAAGTACGACTAAGGTTTGCAAAGAAAACACTGGGATTAATCCCGGTATGATCAAGGGAATCTCTGAGCAAGTGATGGCCTGCTGGGAGGGGACCAGAAGGTTAAACACAGGCTGGCGGAGCGGGGGGCGTGCTGTGTTCCTCTCTGTGCTTAGTCACAGGGGAGTTAAGACAACAATGGAGCTCCAGTTCTGAGGTCAGGCCCTTCAGAGAGAAACAAATGCACCTTCTGGGCCTGGGCTGGGTAACAGCGGCGGCAGGAGGCTCTGAAACGACTGACGCCTGGGCCTCTGCAGCCTCGCTGGCCGACACGGATGCCCAAGTTAAAGGTGCAACTCTGAGGAGCTGTGGCGGGCATGGGGCGCTCTGAAACCAGCAAGGCTGCGCGTGACAGGTGAGGGAGACACCGAGCCACGCTGCAGGAACTAGCACTGCCACAGCTGACCATCATCCTTGGTGTCTGTTTCCCTTTGATTACTTTTTAAACATTATTCACAGAGCATGCTCTCATGTCACTGATTTGCAGAACCACAGGAATATGTGAACCGTGCCCAGAGAAGGCATTCGGTACCCAGGCTGCTTGGCTGGTCCCACAGTGCTCTCGGGCGGGCTCTGCAACGGCGCCTCATGGCCAAGGATGCTGTGGACACCTGGAACTCCAGGTACCAGGGAAGGTGTCAACCCTTGAGGGACCATTCCCAGGTACTCTGACACCTCAACAGCTTGTAAGTGGGCACCAGAAGGTACACTTTCTCAGGATCACAGTCCTGCACTTTGTTGAAATATCAATATTACATTTTCAACACCAAAGCCATAGAGGGTTGTCACTGCAAGCTCCCCCACCAATGCAGTACGGGGCGCGGGGAGACCACACCCCACCCAGGACAGGGCAAAGGTCTCCTCACTAAGCACTAGTTCAGAGCTGCTCAGGAATGAAGCCGATGCTCTGAGGGATACAGGCTGGGCTCCCACCCTGACCACCAACAGATCGGGGGGCATGATTTCATTAGGTTCAAGGGTTAAATTTTCAGATTATCCCATAAGATTCAGTGCAAAGAACTGCTCTACCCAAAGGCAGCAGCGGAGAAGTCCCTGAGTCCTGAGGGACAGACAGCTCCTATGCAGTGGACATCCTGCAAATGCCCAACAGGACAAACCCCAGCACCCCATTTCCTCTTAATGACCTTCCCCTGCTTTTTTCCTTAGCTCCTCTGGGCCCCCCACTAATAGCATGTAGGGGTTTAGAGCTGACAGTATGGAGCCCAGCTCTGAGTGCCCTGGGCAGAGGGAAGGAAAAAGGGGACATGCAGTAAACCTGACAAGCTTGGGGGGCACATGGCGGCCTGACAAGCTCACTGACCAAAAGTGACCCCACGGCAGGGTCTGACCACCAGATACTAACTGGACAGGTCATGGCAGGCAGTCCCAACCCAGGCCCACAGCTCCTCGGCAAAGGTCGGACTCTGCCTTATGTGAGCTCCGTCCACTGTTGTCGTGTAGCTTGGAAAACACACAATCAGTGGGCTTCAGGCACCGTCCTTCCATCTCCTCCTTTAATTCTAATGCATAAAATAAGCTCCAAAACTGCCATTCTCCAGAGCATTTGAGATTTTGCTTCCCAGCAATTGTTTGGCTCAAAGTCAAAAATTACCTACAGGTTTGTATATTTCTTACATGGACAGAAGCAATAAGGGACCTCCCTGGCCTGCAGCATGACCTGGGAGGGACCCGGCGTACAGCACTGGTGCTCAGGGAGGCCCCACAGCCCAGCCCAGCAACTTACAGCACAAAGAGGTCCTCTTCACATGGGCCGTAGTCCCCCTCTACCTCCTGGGAGTACAGCAGCGTCTGCCTGTTGTGGGGAAGCACCATGAGACTCTGCAGGGCTGCAAGGTCTCTGTCATCGGCAAGGTCATCGTGAGGGTATCCACACAGACCACTTCCACCCAGGAACGAGGAGAACCCAGAGCAGGTCCCCCATCCAAAGGCAGGGAGAGAAGGGGCCGGACAGGAATAAATAGGACTGGGAGTCAATCCCTGGGTCCAGGGCCGGGTCTGGCCCTGTGTCACCTCAAGCAAGTGGCAATCTTTCCCATTTGCCCATCAGGTGGGATGCTAATGAGGCCACTGGTTGTGCAGGACAGTGAACTGTGGGGCATTATGAAGCAGCTCGGTACTGTGGTGCACACGCCAAATGCTCCAGGCCTGGCCTCTGCTCTGCAGATTCAAGTCCATCAGAAAGCAGCCCCCAACACAATCTGCTGTGCTATCAGGAGGCTGTGCTGGGCCCCGCTTCATCACCGCCCATCGCCCAGGCCTGCCATATGCTCTGAGGGGAGGGGTGGGCTGGATGGGATGGCAGAGACCCCGGTCCAGGGTCCCACCTGGGCACATCTCCCTGAGGGCACTGCCGGGGCTGCCTGGGCTCTACCTCTGCTCATTGAGCCGCCGGTATTTCTCCCGGTCGGCGCTGTTGATCTTCAGCAGGGGCTGCAGGTGGTCGTGGTGTGTCTTCACATTCTGGTTGTCCACGTAGACATCATACAGCTCCCGCTTCTCCTCGAAAATCTTCTCCGTGGTGCCTGTGAGACCCGAGGGCAGGAGCTGGACCCAGAGGCCGTCACCGAGGGCACCAGCCCACCCGCCAGGGAACAGGAGCCCAGGAGCCCGAGTCCCTGAAAAGGGCCCTTGGGGAGCTGGGAGGCTGTGGAAGGTACTCGGGGCAGGGGCATGTGGGCAGGAGGCGGGGAGGGCCCCGTACTCACAGGCCACATAGGACACCTCTACCTCCAGGCTCTCGATGTCAGCCACGTTCACATAGAAGAAAGGCTTGGACTCGGGAATGGTGCCCCCGAGGCCGGGCAGGGAGACGTTGGCCAGGCAGCAGCAGCAGTATACTGTGGGGACGGAGACGGTGAGGGGTAGAGTCTGTCCCTCCCAGCCCCTCTGCCTGCGAAGCCGCCAGCCCTCTCTGAGCCCTCAGCCTCCAAGGATGCTATGGAAGGCTTTGCTCTATGCTGCCCAGGTGCCTGAGTAGCAGGTGGTCCTGATTCCAAGGAGGTGATGGGAGCCTGTTAGGTACCGCAGCAGAACTGAGGTCCTCAAGGCCATGTCAGTGATGGCCTATGAGACCCAATGGGCAGGTCTCAGTCTTTCCTGTGCTAGGGCTTGCGTAGGGGCACTGCTGACCTGACCTCCTCAACATTCCCGCCTACTATGACCTCCACCTTCTGGCCCCTTCCTCCTGACAGTCCCACCTCAGTCTCTTCTGTCTTCCTCCTTATGGTTCACCTCTTGAGCTTCTCTTCTCTCCTCTCCCCACAGATGCTGTCCATCATATTGTGATCAGCCCAACATTCCCCCAGGGTCCTGACCCAACTACACCAGTGCCCGGTGGACATCTGGAGAAGGCCTCACAGCACTCACCATGTCCAAAGTTCACTCTCATACCACCTGCTCCTCCTCAGTCCCCATCTGGTGGCCCTAACATCCTTGTCACCCTAGACTCGTGGTCGGCAAACTGCGGCTCGCGAGCCACATGCGGCTCTTTGGCCCCTTGAGTGTGGCTCTTCCTAAGCCTTAGGAGTACCCTAATTAAGTTAATAACAATGTACCTACCTATATAGTTTAAGTTTAAAAAATTTGGCTTTCAAAAGAAATTTCAATCATTGTACTGTTGATATTTGGCTCTGTTGACTAATGAGTTTGCCGACCACTGTCCTAGACTCTTCCTCCATTACAACCTCACACACATCAGAACCTTATAACCCAACCACATACCAAATGCTGTCAAGCTTATCTCTTAACTACAATCCATCTTCTCTGTTCTAATCCAGACCCTTATCTGTCACAGGACCATTGGTACATCACCCAGTGCATTTTCTGCATTGCCACGAGTCCACATTCTAAATCCAGATCCAACCAGTTCACTCCAGGCTTAAAACTCTGGCCCCCTCCCTTGATGTGGCCCAGACCCTTCTGAACTTGGTCAACAATGGAAAGACTCAAGCATTTGCCCTGGGGAACTCAGGAAGAGCCTCTGACATTAGCCTCTAGTTACCTCGATAGCACACGACACCCACAGGAGGGGGAGAAAATATCAGAATGCGCTTTCTAAGTAAGGCAAATTTCCAAAGAATGAGGATCTGTTCTCCAAAGAACTTAATAAACTGAGACATGCAGCCAGCTGGGTGTGTGATCTGAAAAAATAAAAAGGGAGTAATAGCTTGTTAGAAATGTCATTTTAAAAATATTCAAACAATAAAAACAATCACAATAATTCAAACACTTGGAAGCTGAATAGCATACTATTAAACAATGAGTGGGTTACCAAAGAGATCAAAGAAGAAATAAAAAAAACATCCTGGAAACAAATGACAATGAAAACACACAATCCAAAATCTTTGGGACACAGCGAAAGCAGTGTTGAGAGGGAGTTTCATAGCATTACAGGCCTACCTCAAAAAACAAGAAATACTGGTAATAAACCATCTAACTCTGCAACTTTAAGAATTAGAAAAGAGCAACAAGAAAATCCCAGAGTGAGCAGAAGGAAATAATAAAGATCAGAGCAGAAATAAATGACAGAGAGACCAAAAAAAATACAAAAGATCAATAAAACCAAAAGCTGGTTCTTTGAAAGGATGAACAAGATTGATGAACCTCTAGCCAGGCTCACCAAGAAGCAAAGAGAGAGGACCCAAATAAACAAAATCAGAAATGAAAGAGGCGAAATAACAACAGACCGCACAGAAACACAAAGAATCGTAAAAAAATACTATGAGCCACTCTATTCCAACAAACTGGTCAATCTAGAAGAAATGGACATATTCCTACAAAAAATATTCAATACAGGCGGGTGTGAACCCCTCTAAAATAAACCCCAAAGTATAACCAAACAGATGCAGGTTACTTCCACATAAAGTGATAGTTTCCTCTTTCAAAGTCCCACCTTTAAATTAGAGGCCTATCACTCAACAGCTCTCCTGACACACTGAAGTTTGAGTTCAAGGGTCACTAACTACTTTACTCAGGAGAGATAGGTGCTGGGGAAACAGGACTGAACGAAACTTCTTAAGAGTCATAAATAGAAGTATCTGATGTGACCGTACACCCCAGCAAGAACATTTGACTCACAAACATTACTGGACACTGCAAGGTATGAAATGATGAGCAAAGGGTCCCAAAATAGGTCCCCAAATGTATGGGGACCCAGCTGCTGTGCAGAATGAGGTCTCTGCGAAGGCTGCTGGCTGCCTCTGAGCCCTCAGCCTCCAAGGATGCTATTGAGGGCTTTGCTCTGTGCTGTCCAGGTACCTGAGTAACCAGGTGGTCCTGCATTCTGAGGTCACCAGGAAGAAGACCCACAGGGCCTGCTGGCGGAACAGTCCACTGCACTTCAACTGCAACCATCCCTCCTTTCATGGTAAACACAGGAGCCTGTCACTCGGTCAGTAAGGTATGGAGGCCCTCAGTCCAAAACCCTCAAGGAACTCAATGCTCCCAACAACGACGTGAGCTCAGAAGTGGGTACACTTCCCCAGTCGAGCCTTCAGATGAGACTCAAACCCTGACTGACACCTTAACTGTGGTCTCACAAGAGATCATGAAGCAGGGTACCCAGCTAAGCCATACCTGATTCCTGAGCCACAGAAACTGTGAGATGATAAATATGCACTGGTTGAAACCATTAATTTGGCAGCCACTGTTGGCCATGCCTTCCCTCAGTTTGGAATCAGCATCCCTCACTTTCTGCCTATCCAAACACTTCAGGGATCACCTCTTCTTCTAAAAAGCCTTCCCTGATTTCTCCCTTAGACTCATGACATAATTTCTCTATCAGGAAGCTCAAGGTTTCTGAAGTATCTTGTGACCACCTACAAGGTCACAAGTTCATAGTCATCTTCCCCCCCCCAACACCTAACACTTGGCCAGCTGTTTTGTTAACTGTAAACAAATATATCCTAGTACAAAGGCAAAGTCCTTCAGAAAAAATACACAATAAAGCAATATACAAAACACTCTAACAAAAAAATGTGATACCCGCTGTAACTCTTCATCGTTAGCTCAAATGTCTGACTTTAAAATGTCTGAATCAATGGACTCAAAACCACCTCTTTCCCCCCGGAATCCACCCAGACTGGCCTATCAATACGATTTTGCACAAAGATTATGAAAGGTCTAGAAAGCACAGTGTTTAAGGTAATTTGCTTTACGTTTTAAAAGAACCCAAATGCTAGTTAGCAATCCTACTCTATCAAAAGTGGACGTTGGGCACAAGCCCAAGACATAAATTCCTTATTAATTAAAAACACAAGCAAGCACTACAGTATGCAGACACAAGCCCAAAACGTGCGAGAGTACAGCAGACCTCACCTTCATCTCTGGGTACATGTACCGGTGGATGGAAGGCAGCCAGTAGACGGGGGGCAGGCTGCCGCCCCTCCCGGGACCAGCATGGAGCACCCCTTTCTTGTCCTCATAGAAGGCAGCCAGATGGGAGTAATGTCCTGGCATCTCCAGTTGATGTCTGCAAACAGTCACATGCAGGGTGAGATCGAGATCTGGTGGCTGTCACAGCTCTGTCCCTTAACCCTCACCCCCCATCCCCCACCCCCACATCCCCACCCCAAGGGCTGCAACACTTAGGGGCAAAGGCCCAGATAAACTGAAAAGACCCCTTTTCTGAGGTTTCCCAGGATGCCCCCTTGGGAATTCAGGAGATCCTTAGGAAAAGCTCCAACATGGGATCTGATACTCCCTGACAGGTGGGGGATGCATTCCCCTGCTCACGGGGAACAGGCAGAATTCTCAGACTGTGACCAATGCCTATCGTTCCTGGGCGAGGTGTGCTGACCACTGTGTGGGGCTTCCCAGAGCCTGGCTGTGGGCCTGAGAAGGGGGGCCTGGGAAGACCATGATCCCTGCTCTGAGCTGCTCTTTGTTGAGAAATCATGCTTGCGGCTTTGTTGTTGTGAGAGAATAAGAGGAAGCAGTGTCTCAAACAAGAGGAAACAATTATTGGATGTCACTAAGGGCTCAGAATTTCCATACCAAGTAATGAATAAAAAGCTCAGAATCTCTTCCTCCCCTCCTGCCTTCCCCACTTGGGATGGCAGAGCCCGGTGGTGGGCAGCCCTGCTAACTGCCCCAAATCAAGAAAGCTGCCTGGAGGCCCTGGACCACTTGGACAACGGGGATTCTGCCTTCACGGTGAATGCGGGAGTGCAGGGAGTACTATTTGGCACTATGTTTAATGGGGGTGTTAAGAGTTGAACTGTGTCCCCACCAAAAAATATGTTGGAGTTCCTCAGAACGTGACCTTATTTGGAAACTAGTGACCTGGTGCACAGATTCATGCACATTGAAAAGAAATTAATTAGAAGGTGGCTGGTGGGGCAGGATTGGGCGAGAGGGGCTGAAGACGCCCTGGAGCCAACATCCCATGGTCCCTCCCCAGTGTCTTTGGAGTGAGCAGGGTACCTCCAGCAGGTGGGGTCCTTTGGCCTGGCCTGCAGGGATAAGGCCGAAACCGGCTCTCTGACATCCCCCGAGGGGTCCCAGAGTGCGAGAGGACACTCTGCAAAGTTGCTATCATACAGCGGGTGGAACACAAACGCAAGTGCAGCAAACCAAATTCCGGGCCGACAGTGCCCTCAGCAACAACATAACCACGGCCGAAGGTGGAATTGCGCGGCCTCGCGAGGAATCAGGCTCCCTCCTCTCTGGTTTTGGGGTGTGTCATTCGAGAACCCCCTCTGCCAAGTCACTGCAGCTTGGCAGCTCCTGCGTTGAGCATCTGCCTCCTGGTGGTCAGTGCACATCATAGCTACCAGTCGGATGGACACTTAGCATATTAGCCTTTTATATGTATAAATAGGGTCTGCACAGTTAATTAAGGTGAGTCTTAACCCAATGTGACTGGGTTCCTTATAAAAAGGGGAGATTTGGACACAGGCACACACATGCAGGGAAGACGCCATGAGAAGATGAAAGCAGAGAGCAGGAGTGAAGGCAAGGCCGCCAGCAAACCCCACTGCGGAGAGGCAAAGACACATCACCCCTCCCAGCCTTGCAGGAGCCAGCCCTGCCAGCACCCTGATTGTATTCTTTGGCCTCCGGACTGTGAGAAACACATTTCTGTTCTAAGTCACCCAGTTTTTGGTACTTTGTTAAGGTAACCCTAGGACACTGACATAGGGAGGACTAAAATAGGCACCTACACCTTTTTAGCCCATTTGTGCTTTCTCGGCACCATACAATTTCCTCCCACTGCAACAAAAAGAATCCAAATCTAGCTTTATCGCGCAAGGGGAGGCTCCTGTAATTACGGCTGGAACATCGAAGACTAACACAGGCCACCTCCCCAAACTGTCACTGTTGCTGACCACAAATGCTGACACAAACCATTAGACCCAAGACTTTCATTGTCCAACCAGCTCCACTCCAGAGTGACCAGCAGCCCTAGCCTGAGGCCACGGCTGCCACTTCACCTAGAGGTCCCAGGCAAGTCACTACACTTTCCAAAATCCATTTTCTCTTTCCTTAAAATGCAGATGGTGCATTTCAGTAGACACCGGCACCACCTGGAGAGGGATTACTTTGAGATGTAAATGAAATGAAGTAGAAAAGGTGCCTCACACCATTTGTGACATGTCAGTCACGCACACATCAGTCCCAGTGATCCTGCGGTGGCTAGCCAGGCACATAGGGAGGGCTCAGGAACCAGGGGGATGGGGAAGGTTCTGGGCAAGCCCAGGAGGAGACCTTCAGGCAAATTTACATTTTAAAAAGAAAAAAAGCATCAACTACATTCATGAACGATTACTAAAATAAATGTCTCCCGAGTAACAGCTCTCTAACTCAGGGGTTCCTATACAGTCTGTTTTAAGCTTTGCCCGGGGTACTTATAATCACTGCTTTCACTCTTACAAAAATGTTCATGTGGATGGGAAATCCGCAGTGACTCACTCAGTTGTGTTTGTCTATCTGAGCAGATGGCAGATTTCAGACCCTCTTCAGGGCTGTGTGTCAAACTGAGACAAGTTTGATGAATACAAAATAACCCAAAGACAAGATTACGTTCAAGGGTGTTTTCATTAGGACCTAATTTCCCTAAAGAGAAGAGTGAGATTCATTTACTGTTTTTTTAGTACTGTATTTTCCATGTTAAAGGGGGTAATTTATGTAATGTTTTATTATTTTCTTGGTTCATTGGTGATTTGCTGCTCCGCTGACTGTTCTGTTTGGCTGCATTAAATGCTATGCTTGAACCAAGACGCTAAAGAAAAGCTGAGTCAGGATCCTGTCCTCTGACAGCCTCAGACACTCCCAGCTGATGGAGCGGAGTGGGCAGGAATATGAAACGTAGAATATGAACATCGACATCAACACAAATTGGCAGTTCCTGCATAATTGGTAAACAACTGTGGTAGGAAAGCCTCAAAATTTAAACACTATAGATTTTGTAATAAACAAGATTGATCATCAAACCATAATACCAAGATAAACTGAAAGATGCTGCAACAAAATTCAGTGCTAGAAGGTAAAGGGGGCATCAAAGATGCAGGAGACCTCCTGGAGATCTGACCTAGGAGGATGCACAGATTAAGAAACTACCACCATGCATTTATGCAGATGTCCAAGAGGCGTGACATGGTAAAAGCTGACGAGTAATTGACACAATACTAGTACATGCTACTGATATGAAGCTCCATGCGGATGAAGACAATGCTCTAGAAGATGGCAGAAGACAAGACAGAAAACCTAGGTCCCAGGATGACCCAGTAGAACACAGCCACCTACCATCCAGGAGGGCTTCTCCCTCTCTGGGACAATCATGCAGAAAAAAAGAGCGGTATTTCTATCTTGTTTGATTCGCTGTATATTGGATCTCACAACTGAGAGCTAAGAACTGAGGGGATTATAATTATAGAACTTTATGTACTAGATATTGCAAACTATAAAAATTGAGATGGGAAGCGGGAGAAGAGCTGGGAAAAAGTAGAAGATAATGGACTCTGTCAACAGTTGAAATGCAATTTAAAAACCAATGACACCTATACAAAGATTTCTGCACTTTACTGTACATGTTATTCCTCAATAAAAATAAGAATGATACTGTATCTTCATGTTTTTCATAACTTTGGAGGAATAGATCAAGAAATAATATATCTTATTGTGAAAAAATATATATTCTCTTAGAGTCTGACAATTCCTTAAGTTTCATTTATTCTGTTCCTAATAGATACAATTAAAATTAAATATATTTCATGAAAACAACCTATTTGTTAAATTAAATCCTCATAAAATAGTAATACCATCTTTATAAAATTATTTCTATTTTACAATGGCATTCACTGCATATTGAGAATGGATCTCTCTGAGTGGAAAGATTTTTAAAAATGGACATCTCTGAGTGGGAGGATTTTAAAAATTCATTTGTACTTCTATATTAATTTTTAAATAAACATGTTTTCCCCCCACAAACAATAAATTTCATGTTGTTTCAAAGATAATAATCAAGAGAGATTGTTATATAAAAAAATCAAAATAATGATAAATTTAAAAAGTACAGGAGATAAAAGTGTATGTATGTGTATATATATCGTATGATGCCAAGGATATATTTTTACAGTGTATACACACACACACACACACACATCAGAAAGGAGACAAATGTACTAAAATTTTAACAGCATTTTAAGGATTAGCGATAGATTTCTCCCTCAAAATCTGAAATGAAATTGGAGTACTTACATAATGAAAAAGACTGTTAAATGACTAATAGTTTTGCTGCTTCTGCCAAAAATTCCCTTTCTATTACCCAAGTAATAATAATTACCCTAAATAAATGATTAGGCTTAAAAAAATTAAGAGTCTGTTTGCCTCCCTGGGGCAAGGAGGTTATTATCATGACTCCAGGAAACAAAGGTCATGCACATGGCAGCAAATTATTTAATCAGATGAACTGGATGACAGTTTTAAAATAAGGCAAAACCTACCCCAGCTTTCATTATAGTATGGAGAATTATTAGGTGGTACCTTAGCTGAAACAAAAAGGCCACCACCTGAGGCATGAAACACGGTCGAGGATGTTCTTGGAAAGGCATCTGTTGCTTTGACACACAACCTTGATCGCCAAGGGCTCGTCAAGACACCAGCGGACAGATCCCTGCTGCCTCCCCGCACGCGTATCTAAGCCACGTACCGGACCTGGTTCTCCAAGAAGTGCATGTACCGGTAAAGCAGGGTGTAGGACGGAGACAGGATGCCCACGGACTTCATGCGTGCTCCGCGCTCCAGCTCGCTCTCCACCGGCATGTTGGCGAAGCAGGCCAGGCCGAAGAAGGGGCCCTTCCGGAAATAGCTAAAATGGACCAAATAAGCAGTGTGGTTCACAATCAGAGAGAGAGATTTTGTTTTGCTTTTTTTTTTCATTTGAGATGCAGTCCCCAAAAAAGAAAAAACTGTGCCCACGGCTCTATGTAAGAAAGCTCAGCCTAAAAATAACACTTTTTAGGATCTCAGGGGAACAATTAGCCTAAGCTACTCAACCTCCCAAACGAAAGACCCAGGCTCTAAAGAAATGATGGAGCTCGCCAAGGGGCATCCAGCTGGAGCCAGGACTGAACTCTGGCAAGCCTGCTACCCAACTGGCCATGACCATGAATATGTCCCTTCTCCTCTCCTGCATAACCAAGGACCTGATGGAAGACCTAGTACAAAGATTCATCTCCAGGCCTGTCTGGAACCAGCAATCCGTGTCATCAGCAGAAACAGTGTTGACTCTGTCCTCACTTCCTGAGGCTCTGATCTAACAGAGCCTGTGACCAGCGCGGCTACATTTCCTTCCTCTTTCTCATACTGCATCAGTCATGGGTTCAGCCCGAGGGGAAGATTAAAGCTACTTCATTAGCTCACGTTCTTTCCCTTTGCTCCCTCTCCCAAGAACCTTAGTTACACAGGACGATAACCTGGCCTGACTTAAGGCTGGAATTTCAAGCTTTAGCACATAAATATCTTGAGTTAACTGAAACTAAACCAAAACTCCATGTTTTCATTAAAGCCAAACCTCAAGTGAGGGCCAATAGTTTTTTAGAAAAAAACTACAGTAGAAGCTCTTAACTTCTTTGGGTCATGAAACCCAAATGAAATGTAAGGACCTTCTTGCTAGAAAAATAATATAAATGCAAAACTATATATATTTTTTCAGGGCATTTACACACGCCTCCTGAAGACCCCCTTTCGCTCGGGCGAAGTACAAGGTGGAGAGAAAATGAAGAAGACTTACATTCAGAAGTACTTACATGAAATCAGACTGGATTTTATGGGACCCACTGGCCATAGACTTGAACTCAACACCTTCAAGGTCAATATCGTGAGGTAAACACCATTCCACCATGTTTCCTGTGCGGAAGGGAGGACACAGTTAAAAGAAGCAAAGTCATTCAAAGAACAAGGCTGAGTGCAGGGCTCAGCACAGCTGGCACCACAGGCAACAAACTCAGTAACCTGTTAAAACTGTAACTTACCTACATTCTTGCTGTGTAGGCACAGAAAAATACTATACTAAGTGTTCTCATAACTATTCAGCTCAATGGGTTTTCCCAACGTGCATACACCTGTAACCAGCGCCAAGACCAAGATGCAGAACAGATCTAACAGATCTGCATGTCAGAAGCCTCTCAAGCCCCCTCCAAGTCACCAACCCTCTCCTGACTTTCAACACCATGCATTAGTTTTTGAAATCTGTATAAATGTGATCATCGTGTGTGTTCTCTTTTGCTCAGTATTTTTTTTTTTTGCAAGATTCATTCACATCGGTGCGTGGAGCAAGTACTTCCATCCTATGCATATATCACTGTTTATTTACTTAACTGTTGATATACATTTAGCTCATTTTCAATTTAATGCTATTACAAATATCACTGCTATAGACTGTCTGATGGATACAATTGGAGGCCGAACTCCATTGCTCAGAACTCCTTTTCCTGTGTGTTTCGGGTCCACATGGGAAGTGGAAGTGAAGCAGTAGCTGTGTTGTATTCACAACAGAAGATGGTGCAGGAGCACCAGGCAGCTCCCAGTGTGGGGTGCAGCCAGGCCTGCTGAGGCCACCCTCCCCTGGATCCACCTCCTTGGATCCTCTACCAGCTGACTCTGAAGCCAGGAGTGTGTTTAGTTCCATAATGATGGGCGTTAGCTTCATCAGGACACTCACATAGTGACAGGCTGACCCAGGTTCCCATCCATCCTCATCAATTCCACATTGTTCTCTTTCTCCCCAATGTTACCACCTTCTTCCATAACTGCTCACTAGTACACTCTGAGCTCCAGGATCACACACAAAGACGACAGCCGTACACAGTATCTAACCAGCTCCCACACTGTGCAACACCACATTCCTGAAATAAATCCCTGTATGTATCTCCTAGTGGTTCTCTCTTGGATTAACCTTTGACTGACACAAGAAACACACATTTCTGTTGACTACATCACGAGAGGAAGTGCTGTAAAAATGCTTGCATCGCTGCAAACTAGAAAACGTCAACAGTTCCCCAAGTAGTGTTTCCCAAAGCTGAGGTTGACAGGGCTTCTGCAAAAAATAAAACAAGTTTTTAAAAAGGGATTTGAGCCAAACAAGTTATATAAAGATGGACAGGACACATTATTGCAGAACTTCTCAGAGCCTTTATATGTTACTCTGCACTGTGAATCTCTATGAAATGAATACAGTGTTTAACGTTTCCACAATTATTTGGCCAATAAGCCTATTTTTAAGGGGCATCTAAAGGCCATTTTATAGACATGCCAGTAGATAAGGGGCAGCAAGTAGGCCCTTGGCATCCATTCTTCCTTTTTCCTAGAAAACAGACCCTTCTATGTTTAGCTTGGCACGTGTCTTCCAAATGATAACTACGTATGCATATACGTATGGCTGTCTACGTAAATTCTAGCCATCTCATTTACTCAAACAATGAGATGTAGACTGATGTGAGGTGTGTAGTTTACAAAATGTGGCTTAATGGGCAGGAGAATGATGCCCCTTCCTCTATCCTGCTGCCGGGAAGGTAGAGGTGGGTACAAGCTATTCTGAACCATGAGGGTGACAGCGTCTGCCTCCTTGTCATGGAGGGAATGATGGAGCAAAAGCCACAGTGAGTCTAGGTCCCTGGATGACCTCATGGGTCTGAGCCAGCATTCCCGCCCTGGGCCAGCCACCTGCTATCTTGATCCAACCACTCTTAATTTGGGTCTGGTATTCATGGCTGAACCCATGTTTTATCTGATGCAGCTGACCTGTGGAAGTAAGCAACCATCCTCAGCCTGATTCTCAACGCCTCCCTCCTCGTTCCTCTGTGCTTGGCCTTGCCTCCTCCTACAGAAACGGAAAGAATCAGATGGACTAATGACATCCTGTTCACATCTAGACAGATGCAAGCCCGTCAGGACTGGGCAGAACAGCACGTCAGGCTGAGGAATCAGGGAACAGAGTGCAGGCTCCCGAGCAGCACTCA